AAACCCAAACATGTGACTGCCTCGTCACTGCCTGAATGTACTGCCCTCCAGGTCCTTAAAGGCATGCGCCACCGCCGCCACGCACTTGCTATGACTCTAATAACTCTGACCCCCAGACAACTTTATTTATTAACATACAATTAAAATCACATTTCAGTATAAGTAAAATACCACCACAGAAATGGCTCAGCCATTAGAGGCTAAGCTCACAACCAAAAATATAAAAATAAGATCATATTGGAGGTGGAAAGATGGCACATTAGTTAAGAGTGCTTACTACTCTTGCAGAAGATATGGGTTTGGTTCCCAGCACCCACGTCAGGGAGCTCACAACTGCCTATAATTCCAGTTCCAGGAGATCTGACACCTTCTAGCCTCCACAGGCACCTGCATGCACAGTACCTAAACTCATGCAGGTACACATATATGCATATAAATCTTAAAAAGATCACATTATCTACAAACAGAACTAATTTGATCTTCTTTTCGCCTTTAAAAATTTTTTATTTAAATTTTTTTTACAATTTTGTATAGGTATAGAATGTATTGTGATAATATTCAATGTTCATCACTCTCTCACTCCTTTCCCACTCTTCCTCACAACTAGCCTCCTCTCTCTCTCTCTCTCTCTCTCTCTCTCTCTCTCTCTCTCTCTCTCTCTCTCTGTTGTGTTTGTGGCTTTAACATGACATAGGGTCCAGAATATGATATTTCATAGTGTTCCTCCTTTCCATTCTCTGGCTCTTGTAATCTTTTTAACCCCTCATCTGTGATGTTTCCTGAGCCTTGGAGGGAATGATAAAGATGTGATGTTTAGGGCTGAGAGCTCAGCAATCACTAATTCACTTTGCCAGTTGTGAGCCTCTGCATTGACTGTCATCTTCTGCAAAAAGAAGCTAATATTTAGAAGATAGTGTTGTCCATTTAGCAGAGCATCAGTAGTATATTCTCTCCCAAGGCCGTTAACCTCCCCAGCTATAAGCTGTTGACCAAGTTTACAATACTAAGTACAGATCTCTTCCTGTGGAATGGGTCTCAAATCCAATAGTGAAGCAACTGGTTAACACCAAAACATGCCTGCCTGGAAAGTCAGCCTGTAGCACAAATGAATGGTTCACAGCCGGGAAAGATAGTGTTGCCTTTTCTCCCTTAGCAGTATGCACAGTGCCTTGTGGCACTGTGAGAACTAGGCCACAGGGGTGAAGCTTCCGGTTCAGTTCAGCTTGATTTCTCTGTTTTGCAGCCAAAGTGTGGTGCCTTCAGCTTTAGGTTCTTCATTTAGTTTTGGTGAGTAACCAAGAACAGCAGTGTAGATGTAACCAACCATCTTATTAAATAAGAAACGCAGAGCCAATTCAGATAAGAAAGCCAAGAGGTCAGAACTAAGAGCCTTACCCTTCCTGCTTCAGCCAAGAGAGTTCTCCGAAAGGGGAGCTACTTCCTGTCTGTTCGTCTTTATATAGACTGTCTGTTCTGCCTTCTTATTGGTTGTAAACCCAAACATATGACTGCCTCGTCATTGCCTGTATGTACAGCCCTCCAGGTCCTCTATGGTATTGAGATTAAATGTGTGTCTCCAATGTTGGCTGTATCCTTGAACACACAGAGATCTACCTAGCTCTACCTACCAAGTGTTGGGATTAAAGGTGTGCACCACCACCGCCTGGCCCTTGCTATGGCTCTAATAGCTCTGACCCCTGGGCAACTTTATTAACATACAATTAAAATCACATTTCAGTACAAATAAAATACCACCATACAGCAGCAATGAGCTGTATCATGGAGAACCCTCAGAGGACTCACAGCAAGGAGTCCAGTATTGCCCAAGGATATTTACTTAAAGATCCATGGCTTCTGGGGGCAACAGCTTCACCTCTGCATGGCACTTCCTCCGTTCAAGCTTCTTAGATTCCATTTTTAGTTAGTTTATACAGTAGGTTTCCATACATCCTTACTTTGGTTGACCCTTTCTCCAACCTTCCCTTATCCCCATCTCTGTACCCTCATCCCTCTTTCAATCTTTCAGCCCCTAATATTCTGCCCTCTACTTTATAGCAGATGTTTTTGCTCTTCCCATTCCCATGAAGAACTTACCTTCTTGTCCACCTCTAATGGATCTTTCTTGCTACTTGGCCTGTGCAAGTATTCATTCCAGCTGGAACATATTGACTCTGAAGGTTTTGAAGTTACAATCCACATATAAGAATGTCTAGAATTTGTTTTACTGGGCCTGGGTTACCTGATTCATAGTCTTTTCCAATTGCATCCATTTTCCTGAAAAAGCTCACTTTTCCTTTCAGCCAATTGTGTATATGCATCACATTTTATTATCCATTCATTAGTTAATGGGAGTGTAGGATGCTTCTTTTTCCTAGGTATTGTGAACAGAGTCACAGTGAACCTGGATATGAAAGTATCTCTGTCCTGTAGTATAGATTTTTCTTGATAAACACCCAGGAGAGGTAGAGCTGGGCCATATGGGAGTTGTACTGTAACCTTAGATACCTCCACCCTGATGCTCCCAACAGTAAGAGTTGCCCTTCTCCCCACGTTCTTGCCACCATTGCTGTCTTTTTATTTTCCTTTACATTTATTTACCCCCTCCCCCAATGTATATGTGTGTACTTCTGGAGATCAGAGGATAACTTACTGGAGTTGTTTTTTTCCTTCCACCATGTGTGTCCTGGGGATCAAACTTGAGTCATTAGGATTGGCAACAAACATCCTTAACTTTTAACTGTCTTGCCATCACTTTTGGTTTCTGGTAGCCATGGTGACTTAGGGTAAGCTGCTATCTCAAAGTAGTTTTAGTTTTCACTTTCTTGATGATGACAAGTGATGTTAGCAACCTGATACAGGGCCTCATGAATGCTAGGCAAGCACTCTGTACATTTGTGCATGAATCCCCAGCTTCTTCTCTTCATCTCTCCCTTCCCTTTACACACACACACACACACACACACACACACACACACACACACACACACACACACAGAGAGAGAGAGAGAGAGAGAGAGAGAGAGAGAGAGAGAGAGAGAGAGAGAGAGAGTGTGTGTGTATGTGCATGCATATTACTGGAAACTGAACCTAAAGCCTCATGCATGCTAAATAAACACTCTACTACTGAGCTATAGTCCTCAATATTCTTTTTATTTTATTAAATTATGTATTTTATGTGTATAGGTGTTTTGTTTCCATGTATGTCTGCATACGAGAAGAGGGCATCAGACCCCAGGAGAATACAGTTATAGACTGTTGTAAGCTGCCATCTGGGCACTGGGGATGGAACTTGGGTCCTCTGAAGAATAGCCACTGTTCTTAACTGCTGAGCCATCTCTCTAGCCCCTTACCTTTTATTTTGAGCCGTGACTTTATTATATCATCAAGGTTGATCTTGAACTCATTTATAGCCCAGAAAGGCATTGCACTTAGAATCAGTCTTCCTGTCTGTTTCCTACACCACCAGATCCAGCTATCTCTAGTCCTTTCATTGTTTGTTTTTGAGACAGAATCTCACTCTGTAGCCCTGGCTAACCTGAAACTTGCTGTGTAGACCAGGCTTGTCTCCAACTCACAGAAATCTACCTGCCTCTGCCTTTCAAGTGTTGGGATTAAAGGCATGAGCCACTACTCCCAGCCCTAATATTGTATAGTTCAATGATCCTACAAGGTAATTTTAAAATAAAATTATATTTTATTATTCTGTATCAACTCAATGAAATCTTAGGTGTTTTCTCCCTAATTAAACTTCTTAGTATATGTGAAGTTAAGATGAATGACATTTTTTTTTTGTTTATCTATTTATTTTGCTTTTGAGATCAGATCACATAGTGTGAGGCTGGCTTCGAACTTGTGATCCTGGTTCCTCCTCTTTCTCAGATTGCAGGTCCCACCACACCTAGCAATCTCTTGCTTTGGTTGTTTGAGACTGGGTCTCATGTAGCCTGGACTGGCCTCACACTCATTGCATAGTCAAGGATGACCTTGAACTTGTGTTTCCCCCTACCAGGTGTTGGGATTATAGGCATGAGCTACTATGCCCACTTTATGTGGCACTGGGATTGAATCCAGGGCTTTGTATGTGCTGGGGGAAGTTCTATCACTAAGCCACATCCCCAGCCTTGTCTGATAAGTTTTTGTTTACATACTTTCTGTGTTTTTGTTGTTTTTTTTAAGACAGGGTCTCATGTAGCTATGGCTGACCTGAAATTTGCTGTGTAGACTAGGCTGGCCTCAAACTCACAGATATCCAGCTACCTCTCTGCCTGCAGAATACAGGGACTAAAAATAGGTGGCACCAGTGGTGCACTTTCTGTGCTTCTGAGACAAATATTGAAGTTAGAGCTTTCTGCATTGGCCATGCTTCAAACCCAAACTGTCCACAGACCAGAGACACACTCATGTCATATCCATTCTGCCTTTAAGTTCCAAATCTGCTCTGTCCCAGGACTGTTGGTTCACTGTCTCCTGTCTGTGTGTGTTCTGGGCTTCCTTTGTCACAGAGAGTTTCACTTGCTAAATTTACGATTTGCTGTCTCCTTAGCTGTAATCTCCTATGTGTAATACTTTTTCTGCTTCTCAGCTTTGTCTAGAACATCTTGTATTTCAGCCAGAAAGTTCAAACTTTTATAAAAATAGCTAATTAAGTAGACGGTTAGAATCACAGTGTCAGATTATCCAATTACAGTTAATGGAACATTATTATTCTGTAGTATTTTCTTTGCCTATTTTTGCTTACTATTCAGTAGGTTTCTATGGGTTAGGGATGTAGCTCAATGGTAGGGCCCTTGCCTAGTGTGCACAAGGCCCTGGGTTTGATGTCAGCACTGAAGAAGAAAACATTCTCAGCTCTTAGAGTAGTACAGTTACTGATGGATACCAGAGGGAAGTGGTGAGGTGCCATTTAGGCAGTTGTAATTTTGGCCAGTGTAACTTATTTCTTATCATGATTACACATATACTAAGGTTCTCTGTTTCTCAATTATCTCTCTTCTGAAAAGAATGAAAAGATAATAGAACAGCAACTTCTTGTGGATCAGCTGAGTGAAGAACTCGCAAAATTTAACCTGTCAGTGACGTCTTCAGTTAAGGAAAATTGTGGAGACGGGCCTGATGCCAGGATCTCTGAAAAGAGACCTCACACGGTACCATTTGATAGTCACGGGGGACATCATGTTTACATCCCAGCAAGGCAGGATTCCAAGCAGGTGAGTCAGGTGTTAGCATCAACCCTCCTTTTTTTTTTCCTTTTCTTTTCTTTTCCTTTTTTTTTTTTTTTTTTGGTTTTTTGAGACAGGGTTTCTCTGTGTAGTTTTGGTGCCTGTCCTGGATCTCGCTCTGTAGACCAGGCTGGCCTCGAACTCACAGATATCTGCTTGGCTCTGCCTCCTAAGTGCTGGGATTAAAGGTGTGCACCACTGCCGCTGCCCGGCTCCTGCTTAGATCTTAAAGTTATTTGTAATATCAGAGTATTTGTAAAGTCTTGGGAGTTTTTTTTTTTTTTCTTTTGGTTTCATGGACACTCTGTATGTGTATTTCCTTTTAAACATGTTTTAAGATAAAAGTTAGTAAATAGGGCTGGAGAGATGGCTCAGAGGTTAAGAGCACTGCTTGCTCTTCCAAAGGTCCTGAGTTCAATTCCCAGCAACCACATGGTGGCTCACAACCATCTGTAATGAAATCTGGTGCCCTCTTCTGGCCTGCAGGGATATGTGCAGACAGAACACTGTATACATAACAAGTAAATAAATCTTTAAAAAAAAAAGTAAATAAGAGGATGCCTATGTAAGAGGTTTAGGGGGAATGCTGAGTGAAAGTAACAGCTGCATCTCCTGCTGTATTTTCAGACACGATTAAGGTTGATGGTGTCATGGTATTGTCCCTGTAACTTCTCACAGTGGAACGAGGCTAGGCAGTGGTTTTTGCTTGTTTGTTTGATCTAATTTATCCGTCTTTGTTTTCAAAGTTAAACTTTTGTATCATTTGGCATTATCAAGTTGACAGTCAAGATGGCATAAACATCACATGAAACTTAGTTTTAATTTTTATTTGTAAAGATGTAGGTAGCAAATATGTGTCCATGTAGATTAATTATCTTTTTAAATTTTATCTTATGTGTATGGGTATGTGCATCATATGCTTGCCTGGTGCTCATGGGCTGGAAGAGGACGTCAGATCCCCTTGAACTGGAGTTGTGGAACTGGTTGTGAGCTGCCATGCAGGTGCTGGGAGCCAAATCTGGGTCCTATGCAATAGCAGCCAGTGCTCTTAACCACTGAGCATCTCCCCAGCCCCAGCCCCAGTGTAGATTTATCTTGAATAAAACACAAAAAAATTTACTGTGGAGATCTAATTATCTGATTGAGTTTTTGTTTCTACTTACTAATTTCAGGAATGGAAATGACTTGTTTGAAATCTGTATAGTAAGTTAATCAGTAGGATAAGAAATAGGTGAAGCAGCAAGGTGTGCGTAGGGGATGGACTTTGTGTTAGATGTGACTAAACCTAAGTGATCTCAGGTTCCTTAGGGAAGCGTGGGGACCCCAAAGGAGTGTACAGATTTTGTAAGAGTGTGACTCTGACGCTGCTGCTGCATTGCATCCTTACCACACACCCATGGTATCTGTTATGTCCCAGGCTCAGGTGACCATGCCCAGCATAGCACTGCCCCACTGTATCCTCACGCTGTATCCACAGTACCTCTGTTATGTCCCAGGCTTGGGTGCTTCAGGGTTGGTAAGACAAATGTTATCTTATCTGTAAGCTTTTCAGGTTTAAGTGCTAGGGCTTTGTATTTTAAACCATTGTAATTATTCATTTCAGTTTTGCTTTGGGAAGCTGCTGACTTCTCTGTGGTCAAATATGGCTAATTTCCATGGACTATTATAGAAGAATATTAGGCTTCTGAATCACTGTGACCAAATATCTAAGAAAAGCAACTTCATATGGGGAAGCTTTATTTGGGCTTACAGGTTCCAGGGCTTTAGTCCTTGATTGCTTGGCTTCCTGTTTCCAGGCCCATTGTGAGGCAGGATATCATGGACTCAGGAGCATGTGATAGGAAAGCTTTATTGCCTCAGTGGCTGCAAAACAGAGAGAAGGGAACCGTAGGGAAGGGCCAAGGTACCCTCTCTCATGCCTCAATCCTTGGAACTGGGAGGTGGCCACTTAGAACACTTTACTCCCTTTCCACCTCCTTGTTGACAGTCTCACCAGGTGACCAACCACAGGAATGCAAAAATCAAATGTAAGAGAACCAGTGCCAAGTACACACTTTTGGAATGAAATGCATGAGGGCTCTACTGTCAGCTAATTGAATTTTTAAATTAATTTATTATTTGAAGTCACCCTGTTGTTTAGTTATTGAGAAGTGATGGACGAGGAAACATTTGGAAATAGAATCTAGAACAAAAGTATAAAAGCAGTTTCTACTCCACCATTGTTTCCAGGATCAGTTTTTGAGCACTTAGAGTATGTTTACAGTAGAAACATAATAGTGAAGATTCCTAGCTGGCCCATAAAATTTGTTTATTGTGTGATGTACATTAAATGTATGATTTGGAGCATTAATTCAGTGATTTCTATCCTCTGTGTGTATCAAGGATTTATGGCTGTTCTGGTTTCCAGGTTTGAAATATTATCATAGCAGGGAGTGTGTATTGATGTGAGATTTGCCCTGTGTTGGAATTGGGGTGCAGGAGCTGTGCATCCTGTGGCAGCCCCACACTTCCCCAAGAGCTTTGAACTGGGACACTTGGGTTTTGAACATTTTTGCTGGGGAGCATGAGCTATGCCAGACAGCAGGGATTTTATCATTGGCTTTATTTTTGAATACTATTCTCCATAAAACCATCACTGAAAATAGAACTTTATAGTACCTGAAAGAAATTTGTGTCTGTGAAGCATAATAGTATTGTAGAATTAACTTTGATGTTTGCAGAGAGCGTATTTTCAGTGACTGGCTACCTAAGAGTACTTACCTATATTCCCTCAAAAACATTTTGAGTCCTAGAATAAAAGTTGGCTTAAAGAATCACCTCTTTTGTTGTTGGGTGGGGTCACTTGCAAGGTTTACTCCAGTCCTCCTATATACTCTCTGGATCAAGTATTCGCTGGGTTCCGGACTCGAAGCCAGATGCTCATGGGTCACTTAGAAGAACAAGACGAAGTTGTCCACTGCCAGTTTTCTGACAACAGCGATGATGAAGAGTCAGAGCGCCAAGATAAACCTAGAACTAGGTATGTTGTCTAGAGACCCCTTTAGTGACCATTGTTATAATTGTTGATGGTTTCATTCATTGTAGTGTCTTTTTCATTTAGTAAAGCAGTGGGTAGTTTCTGCTAAATCTTATTTAGTAAGAAAATAGTGTTTGAATAGAAGTAATTTTTTAATTTTTTTTTTTTTTTTGGTTTTTCTAGACAGGGTTTGTCTGTGTAGCTTTGCGCCCTTCCTGGAACTCACTCTGTAGCCCAGGCTGGCCTAGAACTCACGGAGATCCGCCTGCCTCTGCCTCCCAAGTGCTAGGATTAAAGGCGTGTGCCTTTTAATTTTTTAAAATTTATTTACTTTATTGTTTTATGTGTATGAGTATTTTGCCTGCATGTCTGTCTTTATACCACCTGCCTGGTACCCAAGGAGGCCAGAAGAGGGCTTCAGATTCCCTAGACTGGAGTTACTGATGGTTGTTAGCAGCTGTGTGGGTGCTGGGAATTGAGCCTGGATCCTCTGCAAGAGCAACAAGGACTCTTAACCTCTGAGCCACTAGACTTAAGCATTCAGAGATTTTTTTTTATTTCTGTATTCTGCTACAATGGCTGCAAATGGTAGATCCAAAATGGGGTAATCTCTGTATTTTAAAGAATACTAGTAAAATGTGCCTGTTCCGTACAATTACCTTTTTAAAACATTCTGTTACCTTTTGGAGGATCTAATTTGAGAGCCTAGGATATGCTAACAAGGAAGTTGCCTTTAATCCTAATCTTTTACAATGTTCTCTTTTAGATCTAGAAGTCACTCATGGGTCAAAAAGCCAGGCTCTGCTTGCTCTCTTGTTGAATTAAGTGATCCTCAGGATGAAGCCCATAAGTCCCATCTGGGAAATGGAGGTGGGTGTCTTTCTCAGACTGTGCAGACATGGTGGTGTTCTCCGTGGTCAGTTAGAAGCACCAGGCACTCGGGGCCAGTAGGTCCAGAGCTCTCTGTGCTTGTGGGGCTACTTGCATGTTCTCAGTCAGCCTCTGTCTTTTCAAGATAGTTACTCTGTAATTTTTTTATTTTTGGTTTTTGGAGACAGGGTTTCTCTGTGTATCCCTGGCTGCCTGGAACTCACTGTATAGACCAGGCTGGCCTCGAACTCAGAGGTCCACCTGCTTTCTGCCTCCGGAGTACTGGGATTAAAGGCGTGCGCCACCACACCTGGCTTTCCTTAATTTTTGAAAACATGGGTGTACTAGTACGTCTGAAATCTCAGCACTCAGGCTCCTCGAGGAGGAGGGTTAAGAGTTTGAAGTAAGGGCTGGAGAGATGGCTCAGAGGATAAGAGCACTGACTGCTCCTCCAGAGGTCCTGAGTTCAATTCCCAGCAACCACATGGTGGCTCACAACCATCTGTAATGAGATCTGGTGCCCTCTTCTGGCCTGCAGTCATACATGCTGTATACATAACAAATAAATAAATCTTAAAAAAAAAAAAAAGAGTTTGAAGTAACCCTGGATTACTTAATGAGCCCCTATCTCAAAACAAAAACAGAAAAGGATTCTACCAACCAGTTCTGTCTGGAGACATAAACTCTTCAGAACAGAAGTTTAAATCCAGACTTGCTCTGATCTGTGCTGTACTACTGATTACCCTGAAGTGTACTATAAGCAGTCTGCCAGGAGTCTGTCCACTTGGCATTCTATTAGTGATCCATCATGCCTTGAAGCCTAATTAGTGTCCTAGCAATGTTTTAGAAGGAATTGGTAGAATTTTTTATGCATCAAACAGCAATATTAAAAACAGTTATATAATGTGTGTGTGTGTGTGTGTGTGTGTGTGTACACGTGTGTGTATAAAAACAGTAATAAAGAAAAAGAAACCATGAATTTGAGAGGCAGTGGCAGGGGCATGGAAGAGGTTGAAGTAAAGAAGGGGAAGGGGAGGAATATGTAATTATATTTTAATTAAAATTTTAAAAAATGAAAATTTATGTAGCAAAAATACTAATAGGATTCTTTTTAAAACCCTAGTGTCTGTATTTGGGTATGTAAACACAAGCACAAATACTTGTGGAGGTCAGAAGTGTCAAATCCTCCGGAGCTGAAGTTACAATCATGAACCTGCAGGGCGGTTACCCACCAACCCCACAGTTCCCCAGAGTTTTCTTGAGTGTGAGCAGCAGGAAATATTAGATAAAAGGATCTAGATTGTTGAGATAAACAGATTGAAAATAAAGGATAGCCTCGAGAGGGCCTGAAACCTATTCCAAGGAGCCCAACTGTCTCTGCCAAGTGGGTGGAGCAAAAGACCTCCCCCGCCCCCAGCACAGCCAAGTGCAGACCAACTCAGATACCTGCACTCAGGCCCATGGTCCAATCCTCCTCTCTATGAGGACCTGCTGAGTAAAGCCATGAGGAACCTGAAAATGGTCTCCCACAGGTCCCCCTTTCTTAATATATAAAAAATAACTCATTATTCAGCAATCTCCATAGCTGTTACACCTCCCAGTATGGGAGTAGAGGATGATAAAGATGGCATTTCTTTTTTGGATTAGGTCCAAGGTGACTACAGCAGTCTTAGCTGCCTCAAGCCCTTTCTAAACCAAAAACTTATTGCAATCACAAACTTAAAGAATCCCTTAGCTTCATCATTACCATTAACAGGTTAAAATAAATATTGCTATACATAGTCACAATTCTCCCAATCTTACAACTCAAAGCAAACTCTTAACAGAACCATTTGAATTAACATAAATGGTGCTATATATAGTTAACAATTTTCTCAGTCTTACAACTTTAACTCTTAATAGAATCATTTGAATTTTCTTGCTAAGAAAACATAGGAAAAACTTCTGATGTTTACACAAGCTTAAATATTTCCTTAACTTCAAACCAGGGTGCATTAATATCAATAGGTTAACATAATTTCTGCAAACATACATTCAACCTTAATTTACTCATAATTCCTCCTTTTCTTTATAAACTTTTTTGAACAAAACCTCGAACCTAGTTAGAAAAACCCAAACTTACACAATTCCTACAAACCCATATTGAAATGCAATATTCTCAATCTAACCATTAACACTTTGAAAAGTTTTAGTAAAACATCCAAAAGCAGTTTCTTAATAAAACTCTTTACACTTTAATCTCTTAGTATATCCATTTGCATTTCTTACTAAAAACATTAATCCACTCAAATAACAATTTTTTAAATTAAATAGAGTAAGGAATATTAACTCTCCCTTTTCTTTATAATTTAAGCAAAATCTCAAGCCTAGTTAGAAAACCCAAACTTTTCTGTTTAAACAGTTCCATTTGTAACACAAAACCAGTTCCATAAGTAATTCCATTTTTTTTTTTTTTTTGGTTTTTTTTTTTTCGAGACAGGGTTTCTCTGTGTAGCTTTGCGCCTTTCCTGGGACTCACGTGGTAGCCCAGGCTGGCCTCGAACTCACAGAGATCCGCCTGGCTCTGCCTCCCGAGTGCTGGGATTAAAGGCGTGCGCCACCACCGCCCGGCAGTAATTCCATTTTTACATAAACAGTTCCATAAAACAGTTCCATTTTTAACACAAAACAATTCATGAATCACCAGTTAATAAAGCATATATACATATACAAAACTGCATCTTGAGTCTAGGTAGAAACAATAAATTTCTTCATTTAAACAGTTCAATTTTCAACACAAATTCCAGAAAACAGTTCCTAGGTCACCACTATAAGTAAATTCAAAATTATCCCATTGCAATGAAATCACTGTTGTTCATTTCATTTCTTAAGTCATTCATAAATTCTGGTAGTAGCCTTCCAAATATGAAGAATTCCATAACAAAGATCTTTTTGTAGTTTTATCTCATTTTTTTAAGTTCAAAAAGTTCAAAAAAAGTAAATTCTGGTATTAGACTTTCACTTCCAAATATGAAGAGACATTTTACAACCAAAACTTTTTGCAGTTAACAATTTTAGTTCCAACAAGCATCTCTGCAACTTTCATTCTCAAGTCAGAGACCTTCTTAGTTACAGTAATATTTTAAACTGCACTGTTTTTTGCTGTTAGCTCAGGTTTTTCTGTGTTGCATTGATTTTTCATAGATCTCAGCTACAGATGCCTTGTTGCGCTGGTTCGGGCATCCACCATTCTTAGCTTCTTAGCAGCTTTTGGAGCTTTTGAAACCACTCAGACTTCCTGCTTTGCAGTCTCCTAGAACACTACTGTATCTCAGGTTCTTTCACCATGTACATTAAGCATAGACTCACACTTAACATTTACACTTTTTTACAAACTCACGTATCTTGCAAAGCATTTAGACTCACATTCAACATTTACACTTTTTCACAAACTCACATATAACAAATTCTGCTTATTTATACTCCTTAAGGAAACTATAGAACTACTTTAGCAAATATATTTCTTATTTACTTCTTGTATTCGTCTTTTACAACTATCATCTTTACTTCTTACAAGCTTATTACTACATGTCTTAAAGAAATTCTATTAATCTATTTTACACACTTATACTATTGAGGAAACTCTAGGACTACCATTAGCATATATTTCTTACAAGCTTATATTCTTTAGCATATATCTAACTTAGGAAACACCTAAAGATTTCTTAACACTTAGAGATTTAACATTTTCTAACAAGACAGAATAATTTTCTACTTCTTACTCTTAATTATTATCACTATCTCTATTAGAAAGATTCTCTTAACTAGACAAAAAACGCAAATCATTTCTAAAGTTCAGAGCTTATAGACAGCTTTAATAGTTCTGAGAGTTCTTTTGAAAGGATTAATGGCTTTAACTCTAGAATTTAGTGAGTGTTGCTAAACAGTACTTTATGTATTTCAGATCCTTTATAACAACTCTATTAAGAGCTATGTTAGTTTACAGCAAACCCAAAAGAAAGAAAAAAGAGAAGAAAAACCCAGTAAGGAATATTGTGTTTCTGAATTGCTTAGCTGTCTAAATTGGAGTCAGGTTCCAGACCTGCAGCTTTCAACAGGTCTGAAAACATTGCAGAAACTTAGTTACAATTGTCTCAAACTCCTCAGCAGTCTGGAAGCCTCTTTATCCTCCTACCATCCCCAGACTGCAAGATGGAACCTTAACAGCAAGAAAATTGATTTAGTTGCTTTTTATACAATTTTCCCCCTTAATTTTAAAGCTGTATTTTCCATGAGTTTCTGATAGGTTTTTATTAGCCCAATATTTTCACCAAAACTACTACTATTCAAAGGAGTCAAGAACATAGATTTCTTTCATGAAACATATCCTTCGTTAGCTTACTGAGGAAAAGAATTTTCAGGATTTAGTATTTTCACTTCATTACGTTTAAACCCTTGATGTTATTGTTGTTAGCAGCTGTGATATTTAGCATTGATTTTTTTATAAGGAACTTTCAGGTGAAGCAACTCTTATTTCATAAGACAGCTAGATTTTCTAGTTTGTTCCCATCTATGAAGCAGTCATTTCTTTTTGAATGTCTGTTTCCTTGTCTCCTTATTAGATTTGCAAAGGAATTATTCATTGCAGGTTGTTTGTTCAAAAGGCAAAGAACTTTTATTTTCCCATAAGTTTCTTCATATCTAAAACAATGTTCAGTTTATGGACTGCTTTCTCATGCTTTCTGAAGGATTGTTTGCTCTTGAAGGTAGCTTTTTGTCATCCAACTACTGTAAAAACTTTGCACAGCTATTAGGGTAAGTAAGGCATTTTACTAACGGAGCCCCAAACTGCCAAGCTCCTAGTTCCGTATCCTTTCCATTTTTCATTGGAACTGACATTTAACAAACTCTTAGACGATTTTCCATCTTCTTCTTTTAAAAGCTGTATTTTAAGTTTACTATGAATGTCTTTTTGAGCTGAAAAGTTCTTCCAGGCACTGTCGCGGTCTTTGGTGGAAAAA